TTGCTGAGGTCACAGACATAAGACAGCAGGTGCAGCCAGAGTAAGCTGCCATTCGCTGCCGCTGACTTCCTCAGGCTCTGCCGCAGAGTCTTTGGTTTCCAGAACAATTTCTATACATTGTCCTTCTGAAGCCTGGGTGGCCTGCCCATTTTACAGATTTTCTTCTTTAACATGTCAAAGTCTTCTGGGAGGCACAGAGTCCTTGTTCTTTGAAAAGTTCACTGTGCATGTGCGTGCATGTATGTGTGAAAGAAGGGAGAGAGAGGAAAGGAGGAAACGGCTACACCATGTGGTCAGTGCTGTAATTACGGTGACCATGTTCTCCAAACCACAAATCAGGTCACATGGGCCGACAGAGGCTATTTTCTGCCTCCTCTGAAGTTCCAACATGAAATCACATGTAGTTTTACATTCATTGTATCACCTTTTATTTTTTAAAAAGAAGTAAATGACATGAAATTTGAATTATCCTTGACAAATTCTACTCTATTCCCAGAAAATCACTAGAGCTGTGTCTGGGGTCCATGCAGGTCTCTAACTAGAGTAGCAAGGTTTCCTGGAGTAGGAGCTACCTTCCTACAAGGGGCTTTGAGGGCAGAAGAGAGGTACACATGCAGAGAAAGGGAGCTGGCCTGAATGTATTTGGGACAGGGCCTATTGTTCTTGCTCTTGCCTGCTCTGCAGGCTAAAGGCAGTTATTTTTCACTTTCATTATTCCAAAGACCCTAGCTTCCTGGGCAACAAAATGGCTACAGATCATTGAAATAGCAATGTTACATTGTATTACATCTTCCTATGGATTTAGAGGTCTGTCTGCAACTGACTGCACAGGATAGTGCTGAGGATAGGGGTGACATGTCTTGTTCATCCCTGTGTGACCCCCCTCACACAGTGTGAGGAAGATTCTAGAAGAGGCGCTAACCAATCAGTGTCAAATGAATGAAGTGGCATCATGGGCATTTGTAGGTAGGCATATCCTGTCCTGTGATGAATCTATTCAATCTCCTTTCATCTCTCAGTCAGTTGCCACCATGCGCCTGGTGCTGTGTTGGGTGTGTCTGAGACAGACTCAGTCCTGCCTGCAGAGTTCCCACCCACATGGAACTTTGAGGGTGGTGATGAGGGACAGGAAGTGTATACCTGGAACCTGGCCTGAATTAGGGGTTAGGGAAGGCCTGGGAGGAAATGAAGTTTAACCTGGAACCTAAAAGATCACGGTGAGTCATTCATCTAACATTTATATAGTGCTTACATGTGACAGATGCCACTAAGGGTTCTCCATGTGTTGCTCATTTAATTTTTTTTTTTTTTTTTGGTACTGGGGATTGAACTCAGGACCTTATGCTTTCCAGGCAGGTGCAGTGCCACTGAGCTAAATCCCTGGCCCAGCTCATTTAAGTTTTACAAGCAGCCCTAGGAAGCATATACTGTTATTACCCAGATTGATTATTTATTAAGACAGAGTCTCACTATGCAGTCCAGGCTGGCCTTGAACTCATGGCGATCTTCTGCCTCAGCCTCCCGAGTGCTGGGCTTGCCCATGTGCCACCACTACAGCTTTTATCTAGACTTTAGAGATGAGGAAAGAGCACAGAAAGGCTGAGAAATAGGCCAAGTTCATGTCATTTCAATGTGGCAGAGGCAGGATTCAAACCCAGGGACTATGGATGGCATCCAGACCCTTCCCAAGGGGAAGGGTCAGCAGAAGGGGAAAGTGGAGTGTGTGTCTACAAAGGACAAAGACAGGATGGGGCTGGACACTGCCGTAGGGTTTTCATCCCAGGAGAGGGGAGCTGCTGGTGGTTTTCAGCAGGAAGTAGGCATCACAAGGCTGCATTAAAGCCGGGGTGAGGGTGGAGCCAAGATGTCACCCACATGGATCAAGGCAGAGAGGATGGGAGGACTGGAGGAGGGGGAGTGATGAGGAGGGGGGGATGCAGTTAGGTGGGAGAAAAGAAAAAACTGAAGCTGGGCACTGTAGCACACACCTGTGATCCAGTACTCAGAAGGCTGAGGCAGGAGGATGGCCAGGAGTTCAAGGCCAGCCTGGGCTACACAGTGAGACTTGTTCTCAAAGAAACAAAATGAACAAACAAGCAAACAAAACCAGAGCCAGAAGCTGTGAGACCGGCTTATGGCTGGGATGTGGGGTCCTGACTGGGGCATGCACAGAGGTGGAGAAGGCGCTGGGGCAGAGCGCAGTGAAGTCAGCTTTGACTTGACCTGGAGCTGACTCTGGGATGCCGAGGAAGCGGTCAAGTGCTCACTTCGAGTCCCTGGGCTGAGGAGGGCCTGGGCAGGGGTGCACAGCAGCAGGAGGTCCTGGAAGGAGGGAGCCCCAGGGCAGCTCCAGGCAGGTCCTGGGAGCCCGAGGGTGGGGCTGGAAACCAGGCCTCAGCCTTTTCTCCACCCACTGCTGGCAGCTCCCGGCCTCCACACCTACCTCACAGGCTCTCCAAGTGACAGCCAGGTGGAAGGAAGGCTTTGGCTGCCTCAGCGAGCAGCGCCTCCAAAGACTGGAGAGGAGGAGGAAAGGCTGTCAGGGACATGGAGTCACCCCAACTCTCAGGCTGCACCCCATGTGGGAGTGCACACCTCCTCCACGCGACCTTGCTCAGCTCAGCCCCGCAGCACATCTCCTCCTCGCCCCGCCTGGCTGTCCCCGCTCCATGCTCCCAAAGGTGACCACTCACCGCCTTTGCCTCCACACCACCAGGCCCTCAGATGAGGCCCGGGCCAGGGCGTTGCTGGTACAATGTTTCTCCTCATCTGCTCCTTATGGTCCTCTTGCTCATTCTTTCCTTCTTGCTTCCTCCATCCCTCTTCCTGGCAACACTGGCTTTTTCTGAGGCCTTTCCCTGGGTTGTGCCTTGTGCCTCTCAGAGCCGGCCCCCTCAAGCCTCCTTCCTGCTTTCACTCTCCTCTTCCTATGAGCCATGGCAGCTGCCCTCAGCTACCCAGCAGCCCCAGCTTGGCCAGGCCCCCCACCCCCCACCCCTCGAGAGGTCCTCTCAAAACAACTTCTTGAGAGTGCACACCCTGTCTTTCAATTCTGCCCTGCTCTTACCAGGAGCACAGTGCCGTAGTGCAGGGAAGAGGCACACGTGTGGACCTTCTAAGGGGCTTGCTTACTGTGTCTAAGACCCAGGCCATCTTTCAGGACTTCGGACTGCCTGCCACTCGTACCCAGATCACCAAGAACTGGCTAGTCTGCTGCTTCCCTGCCCCACTGGTGGTGGCTGGAGGAGGTACTCGGTCGGAGGTCACAAGCTATCATGTGTGGGCTGCACTTTGGGACTTCGGCCACCATCCTTAGGCTCAGTCCTGATTTACTACCACACCCTAAGTGTCACAAGGGCACCCATGGGAACCAGAAGCCTGGTCTCATTTCCCAGGATCTGGGTGTGTTCAGCCTCGAAGCCATTCCCTTCTGGAGACCTGAGTAGGCCAACAGGAAGTCCCTTTCCTCAGCACAAGGGGTTACCTTGGGGGAAACAGGATGGGTCTGACCTATCCTTACATGCCCAGCTTGCCTTCTTTATGCTCTTTTGCTTTGTTCTGATTGCTTTGAGATTTTTGGAGCTTTATTCCTGAGGTTAATAATCTTAAACTTCTGAAGGTCCTAAGAAGCCAGCAATCCATTGTTTTCCAAATTTGCCTCAGGTCTTCCCCAGACCCACAGAAGCAAGTTCTCCAATGGAGGGGCCTGGCAAACTGTATTCTTAACAACTTCCTTAAAGGACCCACAACCAACACCCTTGCCTCCCGACCCCCCATTGTACAGGCTGGTCCAAGGTGGGAAGGCCTGAGCTGGGAGGGGTCAGATGTCAGCACCAGCTTGGGTCTGGTCCTCAGCATTCCCATCCGATTACTGGGGACACTGCCTGTCATGCAGGGACCTTGTGATGGATGGGATATCAGTAGGAGTGGGAAACAGGCACAGAGGGAGAAGAAATTTGCACAGGGTCATCAACCTCTCATCTGCCTGTTAACTGGCAGGCTGAAGATTCAGCTGGGAACAACTTGTTGGGGGAGATGACATTCTAGTGAACAATGAACCAGTCAGTCCGGGAGCCAGATAATCACGATAAAGAACGTGCAGGGGTTGGGGCGCAGGGCAAGGGGGTATGCTGGGAGAGGTCCTGCGTTGGGGGGGGGGGTGTCACTTCGGCAGAGACTGTGTGGATTGTGTGGTCGGGAGGGGGCTGTCCGAGGAAGTCCTGGAGGGCTGTCACCAGCTCCGTAGTGGCGGAGCCCGGAGGCGCCGGTGAAAACCCCTCAGGCCTGGCCAGGGCGCTCTTGGGGCTCTCCGAGGCGGCATAGTTGGCGTGGGTCTTTGTTTCCCTTCTCTCTGCCGCCTCTCCCGACCCCCAGCGCTGTTTCCTCTCTGACCCCAAATAACTTGTTGGTTTCCCCCGGGGCTTCGTTTCCCCAGGGTCATCGCTCCCGGGACCCTCGGCAGCTGCCAGGGGCCCTCACGGGTCTCGCCTCTGACACCCCCTCGGGCCCCCGCCCCCTACCCGCTCCGAGACCGGGGTCAAAGGCAGCCGGCGTCACGTGGTCGCCGAGCAGCACCGAATCGGCCGGGAGAGCCGAGGGAGAATCCGGGTGGAAGCCGAGAAATCCAGCGCCGCTGATCGCAGCGCAGGTCCCGCCCCGGCCCCCGCCCCGGGGCGCTTGCCGCCCGCTGCCCCGCGGCCCCCGCAAGGATCTCGCCCGCGCCCGCGCGCCCTGGCCGGATCGAGCCCTGAGCTCACGGCCGCGCTCCGGGGAGGTAGGCGCGGGGCCGGGGGCTCGGGAGCCGCGCGCGGACGCCCCTCGGCGCCTGTGCGAGGCAGCGCGCCCCAGCTCCTGGCCTTGGGGAGCCCCCTCCTGCCGTGGGACGGGTAGCGCGGGGCGCCGGGCGGAGTGCCGCGGGGCCTGGGGGCTGGGCGCCGGGAGGAGGAGGGAAGCGGGGAGGCGCGCGGGAGGCGGAGCGCGCGGCTGCGGCGTGGAGCGGGGGTGGCGGCAGCGGCGGCGGCGCGAAGGGGTTAACCCCGGCCGGGGATCCCGGCGACCGCGCCTCTCCAGGAGCGCACTTGCTGTGGTGGCGCCGCAGCCACGGGAGGTAAGAGGCCGGGAGGGCCGGGCTGGGCGATCCCGTCGCCGAGCCCGCGTGCCCCGAACCGGGCGTGCAGGCCGCGCGGGGCCCGAGCGGCCGCCGGCGCAAGTTTGGTGCGGGAGGGCGCCGGGCGGGCGCCGGGCGAGGGGACGCAGGGGCCGGCGCGGTGCGGGCCGGGGCGGCGCGGCAGCTGTAGGTCACGGATAATGTCACTCACGAGGAATGCCCCCTCCCCCTCTCCGGCTCCGAACAGGGGAAACTTTTGTCTGGCGAGGGAGGGGGTTAGAGGCCGGGTCCCGGCTGGGAAGGGGAAGGCAGCCCGACCGGTTTTCTGCGGGCTCTACGCGGCCTGTTCTCTGACTCCCTTCCTCACTCAGGTTCCCGGAGCGACGGGTCTCTTCCCCTGACGCTGCTCTTTAATGCTCTGGGACAGGCGTGAGGAGGGGACGCCCGCAGGACGCTGGGGCTCTGGGACGTCCCAGGAATCTGAGGACGCCACCTGGCTCTTCCCTGCCAGGCTCGGGGAGAGAGAGGGAGCCCCACCCCCCTCACGCCCCATTGTCTGTCCTCCTGCCGCGGGAGACCTTCGGAATGGCCTAGGGCAGTGTTGCCCGTTGGTCTGGGGTCCGTTAGACCTGGGTGTTTGTCACTTCCCAGCTGTGTGACCTTGAGCCGGTTCTTTCCCTTCACCTAGCCTCAGTTTCCTTACCTGTGAAATGGGAAAGATAAAGTATCTGTCACAGTGAGGATGAAATGAGTCTGTGTGCCTCAGTAAATGTCAGCATGCTTACATTCAACAAGTATTCATTGCATATTTACTACATGCCGAGCACTGGGGTGATTAATTGCTTTACATACATTATCAAATTTAGTTCTCCCACATTATTATTAACCACATTTTATAGAGGATGAGACTAGGTGCAGAATGGTAAAGGTCACATGGTTAGGAAGTGTGGCAGCTGAGACTGACCCCTGTTCCCAGCCCTGTGTCCCAGCCTCAGGTCTCCAGGTCTTGCATGACTGGGCTGGAGGTTTCATTTTCAGTTGAAATTATGTGGATACCTGCTCCTCCCCATCACCTGCACCCCAGGTGATGCTCCCTTCTGCCTGGCACTTGCCAGGGTGAATCTTGTCCCCTTGCTCTTGTTAGTGTGGGCAGCTGGAGCAGGATGGGAGGTCAGTTGGAGCTTGGGCCTGGAGCCCCGACATGGTCCAAGATCTTTGCTGGCTGGTCGGTGGCAGAATGCTCTCAGTGTGGGTGGTTCAGGGAGGACCCTGTCTCCTTGGCTGTAACTGGGGACAGCTGGTGGCTTTGTCAACAGGCCTCGCCCTGGAGCACCTAGGGTGGCAGAGCCTTTCATCACCACTGAGACCACCAGGTCACTTTCAGATCAGCACGGGGAAGAGAGGTAGGGCTCAGAAGTGCAGCCCTCGGGCAGATGAGAGCCCTAAGGCCATGGGATTTATATCCCAAATGTGCGCTTATGTGACTTGGCCGAGGGTCCTCATTGTTACTGTGGGCCAGGTCCTGTTGCCCCAGCCTCAGAGGTCCTGGAAACTAGAAATAGGGGGTGGGCTTTGGGCCAGTGTGAGGATTGTGAATCCCAGTGGAAAGTGCATGTGTGCACCTCCACTAGCCCAGAGTTGGATCCTCTTCCCTAGGTCCTCAGGAAAAATCCCAGAAGTGAATGGGTGTGGTGACTTAGACCTTCGAGGCTTTCATACCTGACGCTGGCCGAATCTTTTGTTTCTTTTTAGGACAGGGTCTTATTATATTGCCCAGCCTGGTCTTGAACTCAGTATGTAGCCCAGGCTGGTCTCCAACTCTTGGTGAATCTCCAGCCTCAGCCTCCAGACTGGGGATCATAGGCATGTGCCACCATACCAGCCTTTTGGTGGGGGTGATATCTCATGCTACCAATCAGGCTCTGATTTGGGGCCTTGAGTAATTACTTTGAAAAAATAGAAAACAAATGACTGTTTAATGACATCTTAAAACTTAGGACTGAGAATGGTGGGTGGGGTAGACAATAAAAGAAGTTCTTGGGGGAGGAGAGTTTGTGCATTACAGTGCTGAGTGCTCTGAGGGCTGTTGGAGCACAGAGTGTGGGATTTGCCATGGTTTGTAGGCTCTGGAGCCCCGGGAATGGGAGGCTTCCTGACTGACAGTTTACTATCAGCTTGTAGAAACAAGAGTGAAAATTCCACTAAGTGGCATCTTGAGAGGACTCAGACAAGTGAGGGATTGAGTAGAGGGGCCAGAGAGCTGTGAGGTCCTGAGGGCTGGGGCTGTCCCTTGTCCTCTGATCAGACTCTCCTGCTCATCCTGATCAGGCAGGAGGAAAGTGCTCTGGGGGAGTCCACAGGTGAAGGGAAGGAGTCAGCAAGCAAGAGAAGATAGGTAGTGAGCCTCCTGTTGCAAGTGGGTATGCAAGAAACAGTTTTGCAATCACAGATGGAAGATGTGGTCCGGAATGAGAAGCCATAGACTGGGGTTAGCCTAGGAGCCAGCTGAGAAACTCTGCATCTGGGCTATGGTCTTGGCAGTTCACAGCTGTCTCTGCCCTGGGCTTGTGACTTGCCGGTCCATGTTTTGGGCCTCATGTCCATGCTTCAGGACCAGAGCCAGGCCTGGGTATCTCTAGAGGCCAGGCAGATTTCTGGATTGGAATTTGGTTTTGAGTATGGCTTGAAATATCTGGACTGTTTGGAAGACTTGGGCATTTTTTAACTGAAGTGGAACGTTTGGGTAATTTGTTAAATATGTATGGAAAATGTCTGTGGTGAGGAGTGACAGGGCACATGAAATAGTGTGAGGTGCAGCTAGGTTTTGACTGAGAGGTTCCTGGCCTGGAGTGGGAGGAAGGACAAGGGTCCAAGTGACAGCTAGTAGGCCGGATGTGACCAGAGTGGCTGCTAGACGGGCTGTGAAAGGGCAGCAGAGGGACGCTCTTTCTTGTTAATGTCAGCAAGGCTTTCTGGAGGAGGAAGTGTTGGTGAGGTTGGAGGCTGTGGGACCAGGCTGGATCACGGGGAGCCTGCCACATCCTGCTCCCAAGTTGGTGGCAGCCCAAGAGGACAGGATTGTAAGCAGCCCCTTGAGTCGATGCCTGCTACTATGCCTTGTGTCAGGCACCGTGCCAGGCTCTTTACAGACACCCCATTGAAATTGCACAATGCCCTGCAAGGCGCTGCCACTGCTGCTGGTGACCCCACCCCCACCCTGTTTTCAGATGGGGGAAACAGAGGCTCAGAGAGGTAGAGTCACTTACAGAGCTGGAATTTGAACCCACACCTGATCTATGTGAGCCCTATCGTGTTTCTTTTCTCAGGAGTCATTTGGCCAAAGATGGTGACAACACTGGGCTGATGCTTATCCTGACCCAGGGAAGAGCTGATCAGAGTCTGACTCAGGCTGTGGAACTGAGAAGGAGGGAAGGGCTGCAGGATGATGCATCTGCCTTGAGGCTTGGGGTCATCACAAACAGCTCCAGTGTGGGAAAGGACCCTTAGGAGCAGTATCTCTGCTTTCAAATCCCTGTAGGCCAGGAGCAGAGTCTTGACCTGTGGGGCTTTTTTGTTTTGTTTTGTTTTTTTGGTTTGCCACAGGGTCTCACTATGTAGTTCAGGCTGGCCTCAAACCTCAGTGACTCCCTGGCCTCAGCCTCCCTAGTGCTGGGATCACAGGTGTGTGCCATCACGGGGCCTTTTAGGGCAGAGACAGCACCAAGGTGACAGCTCTAGGGAAGCTAACTCGGAAGTGTGCTGCCCAGGGAGGAGGTGAGGGGCCCTTTGCAAAAGGGTATGCAAAACAGGCAGAGGTGGAGAGAGTGCTGGGGGCTGTGCCCCAGCAGGGTCAGCCTGGGTGGGTGCTCTCAGTTCCCTTTTTGCTGGAGAACCTCAGCATTTGGGTGGTGCTTGGCGAGCTTCCAGCCCCTGCTTTTCTCATGGCTTTCAGAGCTGCCTGTGCTTCGGTCTTGGAAAGTCCCATCCCCGCCAGGCTGGCTGCCTGGGAGTGCCCCTGTGTGTACTCAGACTAGCCCCAGGGGTGTCCGGAGCAGTGGCCTGAGCCTGCACTGCAAGGACAGTGGTTTCACAGAGTACTTGAACCTCTGTTTCTGTTTCCCTGTCTCCTCTCTGTCCTCAACTGTGAGCAGTTGAGCTGAATCACAAGTCAGGGTGAGTGCCAGGCTGGGAAAGGGGCTGTGGGTTTGTGGGTGTGAACCTGAGGAGGGGAGGTACAGTGCGGTGCTGTACCCCTCCTTCCCTATGGCAGAGGTTAGAGGAGGGTCTGGTCTCTGGAGTCACAGTGGAGGTGTTTTGCTGCAGGGCTGCTACACCACTCTGCCCGTCAGCTTGGGAGTTTGGAGCTCAGTGGAAGGGGAAACTCAGTGGCCTCAGGGATAAAGGCAGTGAGCCAGCCACCAAAGCTCTTCTAGATGGAGGACACTCGATGCTAAATTGGGCTACCCTCAATTAATTTTCTCTTTCCTTTTTTTTTTTTTTTTTTGAGATAGAGTCTTGAACTCGCTATGACGATCCTCCTGCCTCAGCCTCCTGAGCGGTGGGATTATGGGCATCGCCACCATGCCCAGCTTCTAAATTGAAAATGTACAGGACGAATGAGCATTTGTTTATCGGAGGGCAAGGTTTATGGAGATAGCCTTACTATGTGATGACAGCTCTCCTCGCCTCATCCCCTCAACCCTGGAGCAGAGCATGCATCTTTGTGCATAATCAGTGCTAGGGATTGGATCCAGGGTCTTTGCATTGCATTGCATCCCCAGCCCTTTTTTAATTTTTTGTTTTGAGACAGGGTCTCGCTAAATTGCTAAACCCCATAGGCTGGCATTGCCACACTCATTATGTTGCAGAACCTGTTACCTGGCCCTTCTTGGGGCCCTTCCATCCTGGCTTTGAACTCTGGTTCCTTAAAAACCTGTCTCATCTCAGCTAGGCTCTGTGCTCTGGAGGTAGGGGTATGTGTGGCCCATTTCAGAAGAGGT